AAACAGGGAATCCTCTTAAATTGGGCCCCCCCTCCCCCCAAAACTGGGCACCCCTTCCCTGGGCACCCCATTGCACCCCCAAATGGGGCGCCTTCAAATTGGGCCCCCCCCCCTTGAAATGGGAATGGGGATGGGGACACAATGGGGACAGGAATGGGGAGGATACAAATGGGGACAGGATGGGGATTGGGGGGGGGGGGGAATGGGGATGGGGTCACAATGGGGATTGAGACACAATGGGGATGGGATTGGGGATGGGGACACAATGGGGCCAGGAATGGGGACACAATGGAGCCAGGAATGGGGACACAGTGGGGACAGGGATGGGGACACAATGGGGATAGGGACGGGGACACAGTGGGGATGGGGACACAATGGGGATGGGGGCCCAATAGGGACAGGAATGGGGACACAGTGGGGATAGTGATAGGGACACAATGAGGATGGGGTCATAATGGGGATGGGGACAGAACGAGGTCAGGAATGGGGACACAATGGGGATGGGAGCACAGTGAAGATGAGTATGAGGACATAATGGGGACAGGAATGGGGACACAGTGGTGATGGGGACACAGTGGGGACAGGAATGGAGACAGGACTCAATGGGGATAGGGATGGGAACATAATGGGGATGGGGACACTGTGGGGATGGGGGCACAGTGAAGATGAGTATGGGGACACAATGGGAACAGGAGTGGGGACACAGTGGGGATGGGGACACAGTGGGGACAGGAATGGGAACAGGGATGGGAACAAAATGGGGATAGGGATGGGGACACAATGGGGTCATAATGGGAATGGGGACACAATGGGGATAGGGATGAGGACACAGTTGGGAGGGGGAAACAATAGGGACAGGAATGGGGACACAGTGGGGATAGGGATGGGGACACAATGGGGATGGGGACATAATGGGGGCAGGAATGGGGACACAGTGGGGACAGGAATGGGGACACAGTGGGGATGGGGACGGGGTTGATGGGGTCACAGTGGTGATGGGAGATGTATGGGGGCTGCCTCCTGCCCTCCCCCCTCCCTGTATTTGTCTCTCTTCACCTTATTTTCCCCCTCCCCCCTTCCAGCCCCAGCTCTCTTCCTCACTTTCATTTTCCTTTCCCAGCTGGGACAGCCAATCTTGTACTGCCCTTCCCCTCACCCCACACTGTGTCACCGTGTTGACACACACAAACACAAGGACTTTTTGTGGGCGGCGTTGGGTAAAGTTTATTTCCTGCTGTCCATTCCCCCCCAACCCCCCATTTTGCAGATCCCCTTGCAGACACAGCTTCTTGCAGACACAGGGATGGCTTCTCGCAGCGTGGAGATCCAACTCACCAACAGCACAAGGGATGTGACCCTGCATTCCCCCAGGTAACAGGGGGAGTTGGGGGTGGGTTTTGGTGGTGGGGGACGTCTGCCTTCCAAGAGAAATGGAGTTGTTGCACTGTGGTTAGGAGTTCCCCTATTAATCGTGTTAGCAGTGCCATTAAAACCTCAATACAAACACGATTGGCCTGTATTGAAGGACACGCATGCAGAGGTTGGCTCTGGTGGACAAGAGCTGTGTTGCTGAGGGTTGAAGGTGGAGTGTGTTGTTGGTGTCTGGGTGTTGGTGGTGTTTTGTTTGGAATGGGAAGAGGTGGAGCCCAGGGAAATGGCAGGATTTCCATTCCATAAAAGTTCTGAAGTCCCAGTTCCAGGGAAATGGTAGAACTTCCATCCCAGGGAAGAGGTGGAGCCTCCCTGCCTGGGAAATGGTAGAACCTCCTTTCCATAGAAGTTCTAAAGCCTCCATCTTAGGGAAATCATTTGGCCTCCCTCCTAGAGAAGAGATGAAGCCTCCATGACAGGGATACAGTAGAATCCTCACCCCTGGAGTTGCTGATGTAGCACTGAGGTTTGGTGATGGGACTCAGGTCAGGCTGATGGTTGGACTCAATGATCTAGAAAGCTTAACACAACTGGGCTGATTTGATGGTTCTGTGACCTCCTTTAGGACAATAAACCCAAGAGTTGTCCAAATCCCCATCCTCTTGCCCATCCCTCTCCTCTCCTCTCCTCTCCTCTCCTCTCCTCTCCTCTCCTCTCCTCTCCTCTCCTCTTTCTTCTCTCCTCTCCATTTCTCCTCCTCCTCCTCCTCCTCCTCCTCCTCCCCAACGCTGCCCTCTCTCTCTCCCTATCCTCATCTCTCCCTCCAGGACCTACTGCTTCAGTGGCTACAGCTCCGAGCCCCCAAGCCCCATCATCCCACCAGGAGCCACAGGATGCTGTGCCTTCGCCAACTCCCCACAACATTTTAGGGGCAGTGTGGGCATCCTGGTGTACGAGGCAGAAACCTTCACCTTGGCCATCCTCTTCTCCAACCCTTACAACTACAGCTTTTACTACATGGAGTTTGCCGTGGAGATCTCCCCAGAAAAAGCCCACCTTGGCTTACTGGAGGATGTCTATCAAAGGATGTACAGAGGTTTGCCTGCAAATCCCAGCAACAGTGGCATGCTCCAGATTGTCAAGCTCCATGCAACCCAGGAGACCACCATGGTCTCTGCTGGTGGCATGAAGGTCATGGCCACCATGTCCAATGCTGCAAAGTCCATCATTAAAGTAGTTGTGGAGAACAATGACAGCCCTCCCCCCTATCCAGAGGCAATACCACCCCTTCGCTTTATACACTGTGAGAAAGAGAGAAGATTCCAGAAGAAGGAAGGGGTGAATGGTCCCCACTTCCTGTAGATGCTTTCCCTCAAAAAAAAAAAAAAAAATGCTGAAGTAGAGCAGCACTGTTGTTTTGTTTTCCTTCTTCCCTTTTCATTCTTCCTTGTGGCTGGAATAGGCAACGGCAGCCAAGCCAGCAAATCATGACAATAAAAAAAGCATTGCAGATAACAATAACAGGAAAGCCTCGTGGTGTCTTGGTGTGGATGGGGGGAGGGGGTTGGGTCTGAGCTCTGCTGGATTTTATGGGGTGGAATGGTGCAAGGTAGCTCTGAAATGCAAATCCGAGCCTAGGTGCCATCACAGCAGCTCAGGACGTTCCATGGCCAAGGAGGAAATGTCCAAAGGGCAGAATGGCAACAACTGCACCATTTGGTGCCATCTGCTGGATTGGATGCATTCAGGAAATGGAGCCTTTGGTGGGCAGAGTGGGAAGACCTGAATGGGAAAAGCCATTGGATTTATTATGCTCCTTAACACTTGGGTGATGTTGGCAAAGGGACCTGGTGCTGCTTTGGGCAAGAAAGATATCTCGGTGGCCACCAGCATGGTTATCAACCATACCTCTCTGAGGCTGAGAGTCATCCAGGACTGAGGCTCAAACCTGGTGGGAAATTGAGCAGGTGGGAAATATTCAGAGACGAATGAAAAGAGTTGATTTTCAGAGAGAAAAGCATCTTTTTAATTAATGAATGGACTTCCAGGGCCAAGGGCTATCGTTATGGCAATGGAAAATCTGGAGAGGTGCAGTTGGTGCTTGCCTATGCAGAGCAGTGGTGTTGGGCCAAAGGGATGCTGTCTGGGGCCAATTCCCCCTGCCATGTCCACTGGAGGCTGCAATCTTGGTAGCCAGGAGCTATGTCTGTGGTCCAACAAGAAGTCATCCAGATGCAAGAGATCCTGGAGGACTTTTCCTTTGTGAAATGCTGGGATCTTCCACTGGGGGATGAATGCAATGCTTCAAGCTGGCCAGCTGGACTCGCTTTCCTGCAAGCAGGATGTGGCAATGGGTGTGTGAATGTCCTTTTTTGGACCATACCTGCATAGCTGAGCATCCACACCAGGTGAGTGCAGCATCTTGGGTGTGAGAAGCCCACTTTGTGCCTCCTGATCCCAACCTTGGCGTGCTCAGCTCCAGCACGCCCGCCCACAGCTCCTGGATTGGAAGCTGTGGTTAATGGGCACCACGCAGTAGGGTGGTGTTGGTTGGGGTCACTCTTACCTGTCTGCAGGAAGAGGTGGATGCTCAAAGCCAGAACCAGGAGGGAGATGACCACAAGGGCCAGGCTGAGTGAGATTCCCAGCCCTAGGAGAAGGGAAGTAGATGGAAGTGGGGAGGGGAACTGATTGATCACCACCAAAAATGGGGCAATCACCAAATTCAGTGCCTTGGACATGGCTTTGCATGGAAAACCAGCAGGAGTGGTGGATCCCTGCAGCGTTGCTGGGTCTGCACCACATGGAAGGGAAAAGTGCTTTTCCTAATCTGCAGCCCAGACCTTCCTCTGGGTCTGTGGACATTGTCCCTGCCTCAGCCAATTCACCCCAGACTGCCATGGGGAGTGATGGGAAGGTGAAATGAACTGCAACGCCTCTCAGGTCCTTCATGGTGAAGGTCCATACCCTCCTCCCAAGGAAGAAAAATGAGGAATTTCCATTTGCATAGACAGCCCAGCCTGAAGGCACCTCAGAGACTGGAAACCCAAATGCCTTGGATAAAGTTCATCCATGATAAATCAAGGATGCTCACCTTCAGCTGGCATCTCTGTGGTGGTGGTGGTGGTGTTCCTCAGCTCACCCTTCCTACCTGGCCAACAAACACACAGAAAAAGGGTCCTGAACCAAAACCCACCTTATGCCAACCAAAATGCAGCCAAGCAGTGGTGTTTGAGTTGGCCAAGACCCAACTGGGTTGGCATGGCAGAGAATCAGGGTTGAGCAGGGGCATAGTGGGAAGATGATGGAAGAGAACCCTGCTGGAAGAGGTGTTAAGGCACATGAGGGATGAGAGAGTGATCTGAGACACCTAGCATAGCTCCACCAAGGGAAGGTCATGCCTGACCCATCTGTTGGCCCTCTGTGATGGAGTGATGGCATTGGTGGACAAAGGGAAGGCGACTGCTGTCATCTACCTGGACTACTGCAAGGCTGTTTGACATGGTCCTTCAGCACATTCTTATCTCTAAATTGGAGAGGGGTGGGTTTGAAGGGTGGGCTATTCTGAAGATAAGGACTTGGTTGGATGGTTGCAGACAGGAGGCTGTGGTCAATGGCTCCGTGTCCAGGTAGTGATGAGTGGTGTCCATCCCTGGAGATGTTTGAGGCCAGGTTGGATGGGGCCCACAGCAATACTTGATCTAGAGGTTGGCACTGGGATTGGAACCTGATGATCCTTGAGGTCCCTTCCAACCTAATTCTGACATTCTACAATCCCTTCATGGAATCGGTCCCGTTGGTCAAGACCCTACTGGGTTGGCCATGAGGAGACCCTAAAATCATGCAAGCAGGGGCAACCACTGTTGGTTTATCTCAACAGCTGCGCTCAGTATGGGGCAGGGACCACGTCCTATTGCCCACGCTTACCTCTGGTGGTCAGGAGCCACGGGATGCTCAAACTTGAGATCTTGATGTGCCCGACGTTGCTCCGCCGTCGGTACCCACAGCAGTAGGTCCCGCTGCTCTCTGCAGAAAGCTGGATGGTGAGCGTGGCAGTGAACTGCTGGGGACCCACGGGGTGGTTCTCCACCACCACCCCGTTCTTGCAGAAGAAGATGTGGGTGACGGGGAGATGGGAGAAAACCAGGCAACGGGCCAGAACCAAATTGCCTTCCTGAGCCGAAGAGATGTTTGGTAGGAGAGCTGGTGGGGGGAAATCACCTGCAACAGCAAAAGGGACACGGCACCACCAGCGTGGTGGTGTGCGGGGGGGTTGTGAATATTGTTTTCTGCCTTGGAGCACCCAGCTGTCCCCAGGGCTGTGAAAAGGAAACCACAGACCACAAAGCTGAGCAGTGCCTTCCTCTGTCTGCAGACGGGACGCTGCTGGGATTTTCCAGCCTCACTGAAGCATCTTGCTCCCATTTGTCGTGGTCTCATGGTCCCACCCATGGAGGCTCAAGCCTTGAATCATCCCCTTGTGCCACCTCTAAGGCCGTGCACATGAGGGTGTTGCACATGGAAGGCTCTTCCAAGCACTGTGAGCACTCACCTAAGGGGCTGCAGGTCTCTGGCTCCATCCCACCAGCACCTGTGTGGGGCAGAAGGGATGAGTATGAGATGGTCTTCAAGGCTGGATGGGGGCAGAAAAGAGAAACATCTATTTGGGGTGGGAGATGACACCTTGGGGAAGACTTCTCGTCTCCCAACATGGGAGATTGCCTCAAGATCAAATCCACCCCATTCCATCCCATAGAACCATTCAGGTTGGAAAAGACCACTTAGGTCATCCAGTCCAGCCCTCAGCCCACCCCACCATGCCCACCAAACCTTCACGTGCCTCGAAGACCTCCACAGTTGATGACTCCACCATTCTTAAAACCCAACTTCAACCTCCCCTGGCCCAACTGTTGGCCATTACCTCCCATCCACAACGCAAACGTTGTCCCTTTCAGCCCTCACCAACCTTCAAGGCAGCCCAACAGCAGCAAGATTCCTGCAGCCCCAACCAACCAGCTCCTCCCCATGCCTGATGTTCATCAGAGCACGGCGTTCAGACAGAGTGACCCAAAATCACTCTGCAAACCCCAGTGCTGTGGTTTCCGTTGTAGGCAGTCAACCACCTTCCACGTTGCTGGGGAAAAACACAATTTCATAACTTCTCCTCCTTATTTTCTTTTTGCTGTTTCTCCAGGGCCTGGTAGAGCAGCTCAGTGTGGATCTGAGGTTTATATGTTATACATTTATATGCATGGGGTCTGCTCCAAAAGTGATGCCTCTCATCCTACGACATTGATCCACAACCTCAGGGGTGGATGTTGGTGGTATGGCAGTAGAGGTTGGACTTTCCCACCAATATTCTCTTACAAAACAAAACGTGTAGCATCTCAGTCAGCTCACACAGTGGATTAATACCAAGGAGCTGTGTACAGAGCTGAGTATTTCTGTGCACTGGAAGCAATGGCAGCAACACTGGAACATCACAATGTTTGTACCAGGTGGGTCCCACAAATGCTCATGCAGCAACCCAATGCTCAAAAGTTCCATAGTCAGGCTTGAGAAGAGGACAACCTCTCTCTTACAACACAATATCACCAGGCCCCCCATGCCATTTTGAAGACCACAGAGCTAAATTGCCAATCTTGGCTGTCCCACCACATCCATCCACTTTACTGTGCAGATTTGGTGCCTTCTGACTTTGGGCTGATGGATTGCAGGGGCAATATTTTCCTAGCAGTGGCACCATCAGCATATAATAGCATGCCCATGGATGTGAGATGGCTCCTAGGGGGTCCCAGTAGCAATATAAGGAGGGGGTCCTGGTGGTTTCTGAGGAGTCCCCATGGGGAACCACACCCAGAGTGACCCCATTGCCCCAGAGGGGTTCCAATGGATCCCAGGGGGGTCCTGGTGTCCAGGAACAGAGAAGAAAAGGGCCAGGGATATTCCTGGGGAGGG